CTTCAGGTGTTAAGGAATCCTCATGTCGCTAATGCCCGATTGAGCTGAGAGGGGGATAGGGCTGAATGTCTTTATAAATCACGTGTCCTGGGCTTTGTGAGAGAGACAGGGGCTTGTGTTACGTGTGTGTACTTTCGTATGTGTGTATGTATGTATGTATGTATGTATGTATGTATGTGTGTGTGTGTGTGTGTGTGTGTGTGTGTGTGTGTGTGTGTGTGTGTGTGTGTGTGTGTGTGTGTGTGCATTTTTGTATGTATGCATGTGCACTTTTGTAAGTATGCATGTGCACTTTGTGTGTTTGCATGTTGAATTTTGTATGTATGTATGTGCACTTTTATATGCATGTATGTGCACTTCTATATGTATGTGCATTTTGTACGTATGTATGTTCAATTTTGTATGTACGTATGCCATTTGTAACCTCATTAGATTTGGCTTCTTGTATTTATCGATGAACAATGACAGTGCATGTTTGTGTCCATCTTATATCAAGACTAAGCAGGATGTTATGATGATCTCAAAACTTGTAGTTGACAAAGTACATTTGCAGTAGTAGTAGTAGTAGTAGTAGCAGCAGCAGCAGCAGTAGTTGTTGTCGTAGTAGTAGTAGTAGTAGTAGTAGTAGTGGAAGAAGTAGCAGTTCAGCGGTATTTGTACAATAAATAGTAGTAGTAGTATTTTTTAATTAGTAGTTATAGTAGTAGTAGTAGTAGTAGTAGTAGTAGTAGTAGTAGTAGTAGTAGTAGTAAAACGGCACCACCTGACTTGAGTCAAGTTCTCAACTCGTACTGTGATTCCATCTCGGGTATATCACACTTGATCAGGAGTCGACTGACGTCAGCACACGTGACCTGCAAACTCTGTACCCCTAACAACTGACTGCCTCTACACAAAATATACATCAAAATAACTTTTTGCATAGACAAAAATACAAACACAAGTCCCCGATGAGCCAATACCGAAGCGTGTGGCGCGGTGTAATGGTCCTGCCTGGGTATTTAAGATCAACTTCCATAGCTTCAAATTATCTCGACTCGTCTTAGACAGGCGCCGATCTTTCAAATGTCGAACTGGAAACTCTCGAGTGCCTGTGCGGTTACTGCAGGGTACACATTAAATTTCATGTCAGAACGACAGCGAATACTATAACCCTTGACGTAGACCAATAACCTTGGTAATTTCTTCAACTAATGGGACGATAACATCATAGGTACTCACAGCAGCGCGTGAAGCTTAAGTGCATCAGTTAGCCTACAGGGACTCCTAGAATACCTGTGTGAGGAATTTTCTTTAGCAGACGATATTTGCGTTACAGACCATCCGTTTGGAATAATGAATGAAGTAGTAAGTAGTCGTAATATTTCCGCGAATTTTTAAATACTCCTTCGTCGAAATGAATTTAATTCAACGGCAATTTTGAACTAAAGAAAGCAACGAGTCGTCTAGAAGCAAACCGGAAGTGATGTCATAGCCGTGTTATTTCACACGTCGCTTGCAGTGGATTCGGTAGATCAGGCGGTCAAGTCAATGCAGATACTTGTCTTGTATCTGGGTTCGGGGCGGTCGGGTAGCCTAGTGGTTAAAGCGCTCGCTCGTCACACCGAAGATCCGGGTTCGAATCCCGACATGGGTACAATGTGTGAAGCCACTTTCTGGTGTCCCCCACCGTGATATAGCTGGAATATTGCTAAAAGCGGCGTAAAACCAAACTCACTCACTCACTCACTGTATCTGGGCTCAGGTTCAAAGCAGAGTACGCTGTACGATTCCGATTACATAATACGTATATGTTTATGAATCACTATCACATATTGATGATACAGTTGGTCGCGAAAAGGTGAGCGTATCCTGTAACCAGTGGCATCCGTTACAAACACATGCAAAGGCAAGTCAATGGTTCACCTAAAAACACGGGGATATATGGTACGAATCGAAAAAGAAAATTGCATCAGGCATCATTATTGTCACTGGTGTGTCAAATTTAAAATGTTTCCTCCCTTCCCAGATTTCACAAGACATCCATGGTGAAAACTGATTGATGTTTCAGCTATAGATAGACATATCGTTATGCACACGCACATGACAGAAGTTCAATGATATATGTCATTACACTGGCATCCCTGGCATTGAATGTGTGTAAAACTTAAATTTACCCATTCGTTGAATTTCAGTAATATTACAACGTACTTTGGTTTTAGAGACAAGGGTAATATTTGAGTGCACCTTGAATCTTCGTGGGTGGTCGCAGCTATTATTGTACGCCATCCGTAAGTGTCCGCAGTGCAAGCACTTCTACTCCGTATACTCTCATGAACAACGTCACCGACATGATAATTGTGTTAAAACATTGAAATAGTTCCAAGTAGATCACTTAAACATTTATTAACAGGACGAAAACTTACGTATATTCGACGATTCTCGCTTCCATGATATTATAAACACAAATCGAAATAACCCTCTTCAGCATTTAGGAAAGACGCAAGCTGATGAGAACTGGAAGAGGTTTTTACACTCGAAAGCAAGTTCTAATGAAGCTGAGAGTTTAAATTTCAGTAATTACTCCAACAGGAACTACACATGACTTAAGTTCAGCGCTTTACGGTCGTTGAGAAAGCCATCCGTTTAATTTTCTGTCAAAATTTCAGTGAAGATTAGCTGTATGTTGCAAATTACCTTTGCATGCAAGTCGAGCGTAAACGCTGTAATATTTAATAACGACATGATATTAATATCGCTCTGCTAATGTTAATATGATGTCGACTTGACTATTAAGATGTTAGTGTTCGTCTTTGGTAAACCTATATTGCTGATATAATCGTGTTAAATGCAGGAAGTCGGCGAACATGTGTAGAAGTGCTCATCAGGCCCGGCAATAAGCGGTTTAATTGAGCCGACACCTAATTTGTGAACTGACGATTTTTGCTTGAGATTAGAACTTGTTCAAATACATTGCCAAAAGTTGTGAACTTTTAACGTAATTACTTATTTCGACGTAAGATCAACCGATATCGTATTGTGGGAATTGCGGATGCGTGAGTACTGCGCCTTCGGAGCAATGGTTAGGAACAAATACATTCAAGTTAACTTCATACCGTGATCAGTCGTGACAGGGTAAAATGAATGGCATATACTCTCATGCGTGATCATTAAAATATAAAACTTTTAAACGTTTAGCTTAATTTCGTTCAGTAACCGCATGGAAATGCTCTGAAATGGTTTTACCCAGTATTAAAAACATTGTTGTACAAACGTAGACATTTATTCCGGTAAAAATAACGGTATATATATTTGCAAAAAGATTTTCGTACAAATATTAATGGAATAAAACCATGTTTTAATCATTTGGGAATATTCGAAAATATATTTATAATGTCGTGGTGTTTTTTGCAAGAAGGAGGGTGTGGGGTAGCCTAGTGGTTAAATCGTTCGTTCTTCACGCCGAAAACCCGGGTTCGATTCCACATGGGCGCAGTGCGTGAAGCCCATTTCTGGTGTCCCACGCCGTGATATTGTTGGAGTATTGCTAAAAGCGTCGTAAAACTATACTCACTCACTCTTGCAAGAAGAATCAGAACAATAATTTCTTTCACTACAAAGTGGAGTTTACTGGAGAAAACCAGAAGCAAGACGACTGATTCAAAGTAATCGTTATTTCATATAATTCTTACAACGTACATTGTTTTATCAACTTTTGTCACGTTAAATTTGGTACAATTTACTCATGGCATAATTAGATGACAGATTTGTAACGATAACTATGTACACAATGCCATGTATCCTTTGATCGAAATGAAAAAGTCCATTAAATTAAATGCGTAAAACAAAGTTCCCGGTCTAATACGGTGTTATTGTAGTGATAAATCAATGTAATCTTTATCCTGAATATAATACGAAAGAGCCTTTCCGTTAAATGGTAGTTTGCTGTTTTTATAACAGTAAATATATAACATTTTAATGACATGTTTTATTCCAGGTGCACGCACGGGATGGTATTTGTGTATATTTTAACAAATTACGATTAAATGTGTGACTAAAATATTTTCATGTTGATATGTATATATTTTTATGTATATAATTAAGTAAAAACCGAATATTTTCATTCTTTTGAAGTGATGCCGCACACTAACCGACCACGCATTACACTCGTTAGAGAACAAAATAATTCGACTGAAGTGCGATAGCTTGTTGTTTTTTTTAACACTTAAATGATTGGTGGTAACTTTACCAGCTATAATCTTGACACGAAGTCACTGTAAAAGCAGATAGGCCCGAAAGAGGTGAATATAATAAGGGAACTGTTTACAGATAATAATGATAATATTTAGATTTCATGATTAAAGCAGGGACAGAAATCGCCTACGAGGGAAAACACTGTTTTTCTAGTTCGCTTTGGTGGTATGTTGTATTTTCAGAGAAGTTTAATATGTTTTAGATATAGGGAACAAACACATACACGTTCATTTGTCTTAATTAAAATGCACTTAGCTGACGTGCGTCTACTTCGAAAAATGGGAGTCTGCATTTTACATTTAAATTAACCCCAAATTAACTCCAATTCAGAGAAAAGGTTTGCTTCGAAATAACAGAGCAGCTGTCTTTATAAAAAAAGGTTGGAAATTATTGAGATAAGTTTTCAAGATAAACGCTTTAAGACATTTTTTTCTAATCTTTTGTACAACAAAGGAAACTTTAAAAATGCATAAAGCCTCCGAAAAAGAAATATTGGTCCTTGAAATAAGATGTCTTTGCTGTGGGGGAAATGGAACTTAATAGAAAAACTCAACAATCTTCAAAGTCATAAAAAGAGATTTTATTGCCAAAAAACGCAACAATAACATTGACATCGAAAACAAACATTAGGAATATACACGTGCTAAATTACCGTAGCACGTGACCCCAAGCAAGAGCCTCGTTTTCGTCAGCTGTCTTCCTGTGAAAGATTCGTTGGCGCTACCAAAAAACACCATGTTTCGTATACCACTTTTTTCAAATTTCAGATGAGGAATTTGATAACGCCGTTGAGAGGAACTTCTCAACCATGTGCGGCCGTTTCGAAGAAGATGTCAGTTTCACCTTGTCGCTGTCAATCAAATGCCTGCTGATGCGAAACAGCGCGGGAACTTTACCGAAATCGGAACCATTCAGGAATTGGCATTTTGGGTCGCTTGAAACGTGAATGAGACGTGTAACTCAACGCCAGATATTGCCTCCAGGAAATTAGTCAAATGGGAATATCGGGGGAGCAATCAAAACTTACATAATTAGTGTAAAGGCGACCCGCTAAGCGGAAGCCAAGGTTGAAAAAAGCACAGCGGAATGCTAAAACGAAATGAGCCATGTTTAATTATTTTCAGATTATGTTGTCACAGGACTCATAGCCAGTAATCCTCAGTTTTTTAACTAAAAGAGAAAATACAGCAGAATTTTAAGGATATAAATACCTATAGTTTCTATATCGAATTATTGTCATGTTACTGAATAGTGAGTTTGTGAATCTACCGTTCGTGAGTCTTACCTTTCGTGGGTTGACAAATCAACGAACACTTTTATAAAAAAGAAGCTTTTAATTATTTCTTGTCATTCTCGCGATGAAGTATAAAAACAAATATAATGACAACTGACGTGTTTATCCATGTTGTTACTTCCTACTCATATCTCTGTATACTTCTACGTAATATCCAGTTAACCTTCTATATACGTCTTCGTACTATCCAGTTAACCTTGTCTATACATATACGTACATATCCATTTAACCTTCTGTATACATCTACGTACATATCCAGTAAGCCTTCTGTATACTTCTACGTAATATCAAGTTAACCTTCTGTAGACCTCTCCGTAATATCCAGTTAACCTTCTCTGCATATATACATACATAGCCAGTTATCCTTCTACATATTTCTTCTTGCATATCCAGTAAGCCTTCTGTATACTTCTACGTGACATTCAGTTAACCTTCTACTCTACCATCATATCCAGTTAACCTTCTACATACATCTACCAACATATCCAGTTAGCCTTCTACATACATCTACCAACATATCCAGTTAACCTTCTACATACATCTACCAACATATCCGGTTAGCCTTCTACATACATCTACCAACATATCCAGTTAACCTTCTACATACATCTACCAACATATCCAGTCAACCTTCTACATACATCTACCAACATTCCCAGTTAGCCTTCTACATACATCTACCAACATATCCAGTCAACCTTCTACATACATCTACCAACATATCCAGTTAGCCTTCTACATACATCTACCAACATATCCTGTCAACCTTCTACATACATCTACCAACATATCCAGTTAGCCTTCTACATACATCTACCAACATTTCCAGTTAACCTTCTACATACATCTACCAACATATCCAGTTAACCTTCTACATACATCTACCAACATATCCAGTTAGCCTTCTACATACATCTACCAACATATCCAGTTAACCTTCTACATACATCTACCAACATATCCAGTTAACTTCTACATACATCTACCAACATATCCAGTTAACCCTCTGCATACATCTACCAACATATCCAGTTAACCTTCTACATACATCTCCCAACATATCCAGTTAACCTTCTACATACATCTACCAACATATCCAGTTGACCCTCTTCATACATCTACCAACATATCCAGTTAACCTTCTACATACATCTACCAACATATCCAGTTGACCTTCTACATACATCTACCAACATATCCAGTTGACCTTCTACATGCATCTACCAAGATATCCAGTTAACCTTCTACATACATCTCCCAACATATCCAGTTAACCTTCTACATTCATCTACCAACATATCCAGTTAACCTTCTACATACATCTACCAACATATCCAGTTGTCCACCTACACGTCATGAAATTGTAAGCCATATATGGAATATTGCTGAGTGCGGCATTAAACAACAAACAAACAAAACATCTAATACCATTGTCTACCATCTACAGGGCATCTACATTCTACCAACATGTCCACTTACATCCTGCTGTCTACTGATATGTCGTACCATCAACGGATAGGCCATCTACTTACACATCTAATGACATACCCTACCATCTATTGATATTCCTGATATGCCCTAACCCCTACCGACAGATTTGGTTATTTATCAAATGACACACGCTATCACAGGTCACTTGGCCCTACCACCTACTGACAGATTTGGTTATTTATCAACTGACACACGCTATCACAGGTCACTTGGCCCTACCACCTACCGACAGATTTGGTTATTTATCAACTGACACGCTGTTATAGAGCACTTGGCCCTACCATCTACCGACAGATTTGGATATTTATCAACTGACACACGCTATAATAGGGCACTTGGCCCTACCATCTACCGACAGATTTGGATATTTATCAACTGACACACGCTTTAATAGGGCACTTGGCCCTACCATCTACTGACAGATTTGGTTATTTATCAACTGACACGCGCTATCACAGGTCACTTGGCCCTACCACCTACCGACAGATTTGGTTATTTATCAACTGACACGCGCTATCACAGGTCACTTGACCCTACCACCTACCGACAGATTTGGTTATTTATCAACTGACACGCTGTCATAGAGCACTTGGCCCTACCATCTACCGACAGATTTGGATGTTTATCAACTGACACGCGCTATAATAGGGCACTTGGCCCTACCATCTACCGACAGATTTGGATATTTATCAACTTACACACGCTTTAATAGGGCACTTGGCCCTACCATCTACTGACAGATTTGGTTATTTATCAACTGACACGCGCTATCACAGGTCACTTGGCCCTACCATCTACTGACAGATTTGGTTATTTATCAACTGACACGCTGTCATAGAGCACTTGGCCCTACCATCTACCGACAGATTTGGATATTTATCAACTGACACATGCTATAATAGGGCACTTGGCCCTACCACCTACCGACAGATTTGGTTATTTATCAACTGCCACACGCTATAATAGGGCACTTGGCCCTACCATCTACCGACAGATTTGGTTATTTATCAACTGACACACGCTATAATAGGGCACTTGGCCCTACCATCTACCGACATATTTGGTTATTAATCAACTGACACACGCTATCATAGGGCACTTGGCCCTACCACCTACCGACAGATTTGGTTATTTATCAACTGACACGCTATCATAGGGCACTTGACCCTACCACCTACCGCCAGATTTGGTTATTTATCAACTGACACGCTATCAATGGGCACTTGGCCCTACAGTCGTCCGAAAGATTTGGTTGTTTATCAACTGACACACGCTATAATAGGGCACTTGGCCCTACCACCTACCGACAGATTTGGTTGTTTATCAACTGACACACGCTATCATAGGGCACTTGGCCCTACCATCTACCGACAGATTTGGTTGTTTATCAACTGACACACGCTATAATAGGGCACTTGGCCCTACCACCTACCGACAGATTTGGTTGTTTATCAACTGACACACGCTATCATAGGGCACTTAGCCCTACCGTCGTCAGACAGATTTGGTTATTCACTCACTACTTAATTTGACACATTATTGCCTGACGTTGTATATACGGTGCCAGATAATATTAATGGTGTTGATGTCATTATTTGCTAAAGTGTATATAATGAATCATTTTCGTGAATTTACCTATTTTTTACAATCTCTCTCTAGCACTTTATAGAGAAGCTAGAAATATATGATGATTATGTTTTGTACAGTGTAATATTCAGTGTTTTTCGTCTTCAATAATGCCATAATTCACATAATAACAAAACCGTTGATTTAAAGGAACTGGAGGTCTGGAGCGTCTTCCTTATTCTGTGATTAGTGTGTGGTCACTTCGACGTAGTTTAGGTCACTTGTGGTCACTTCGACGTAGTTTAGGTCACTTGTGGTCACTTCGACGTAGTTTAGGTCACTTCGACGTTGTTGTTTGTGGTAACTTGTGGTCACTTCGACGTAGTTTAGGTCACTTGTGGTCACTTCGACGTAGTTTAGGTCACTTTGACGTAGTTTAGATCACTTTGCTGAGTTTAGGTCACTTGTGGTCACTTCGACGTAGTTTAGGTCACTTCGACGTAATTTAGGTCACTTTGACGTAGTTTAGGTCAATTGTGGTCACTTCGACTTACTTTAGGTCACTTCGACGTAGTTTAGATCACTTGTGGTCACTTCGACGTAGTTTAGGTCACTTCGACGTAGTTTAGGTCACTTTGACGTAGTTTAGGTCACTTCGACGTAGTTTAGGTCACTTGTGGTCACTTCGACGTAGTTTAGGTCACTTTGACGTTGTTTAGGTCACCTCGACGTAGTTTAGGTCACTTGTAGTCACTTCGACGTAGTTTAGGTCACTTCGACGTAATTTAGGTCACTTTGACGTAGTTTAGGTCAATTGTGGTCACTTCGACTTAGTTTAGGTCACTTCGACGTAGTTTAGATCACTTGTGGTCACTTCGACGTAGTTTAGGTCACTTCGACGTAGTTTAGGTCACTTTGACGTAGTTTAGGTCACTTCGACGTAGTTTAGGTCACTTGTGGTCACTTCGACGTAGTTTAGGTCACTTTGACGTTGTTTAGGTCACCTCGACGTAGTTTAGGTCACTTGTAGTCACTTCGACGTAGTTTAGGTCACTTCGACGTAGTTTAGGCCACTTCCACGTTGTTTGTGGTCACTTGTGGTCACTTCGACGTTGTTTGTGGTCACTCAGACGTAGGCAGAGACTGGTATACCCAAGCCATGTACTAATGTGCCCTTGTTATCTCCTGTTATACAGTGTTATCTATCATATTGATATGTTCTACCCAACGTGATATAGGGACATGCTGTTCCATTGGCGTACATACACAACACATGCTCAACCAGCTCTCCACCGTGACTGTGGAATATATCTATTTTAAGAAAACAAAACCAATCTATATTTTTAAAGTAAGTCTAGCCAGCTCTTGCCAGCGCTAGTCCATGAAATTAGCATCAGGAAAATCATCCGCTTCAATTTTAGAGAAGAGAAATGTTTTGTGTCATAAAGTATTCCATAAACATGTTAGTCTAATGCTCAACCATCTCGGCTTGAAATGTTGGCAACTTCGCGTTGTAAGGGGGGTAACTCGAATGAATTTTCTCAAATTGTTTTCCGGTAGCGTGCACGAGCAAAAGACAAATAATTTGGAGAATT